CTGCTTGACTGGCATCTCATCTACCACGTTCACTTTACACTCACTACCTATGCAGAGTAGTTGAGGCACCATATACAAGACACACTACAACAACTCAATAAGGGTCTTTTAATAACACTTTTCAAGCATGTGGCCTCCAACACTTAGAAGGACAAGGGAAATAGATGCCGTGGGAGCACCATAATACGCAAGTTCAACTCTAGACAACAGATCATCCTAACTTGAAACTCTATCACTGTTCCTTCTCTGTTGCTGGATTAAAATCCTGGAACTCCCTCCCTTTCATCACTATGGGTACACATACATCTGATTGACTGCAGCAGTTCAAGAACACAGCTCACAATCTTTCTTTACTCATTCACGGGATGAGGGAGTCACTGGCTAGGCAACATTTATTGCCCAGGCAGTTAAGAGTCAACCACACTGCTGTGGGGCTGGAGTCACATGTAGGCCAGACCAGGTAAGGATGGTGGTTTCCTTCCCTAAAGGGCATTAATGAACCAGATGGGTTTTTCCGATAATTGACAATGGTCATCATTAGATTCTTAATTCTAGATATTTATTGAATTTAAATTCCACCATCTGCTGTGGCGGGATTCGAACCCCAGAACATTATCTGGGTCTCTGGATTAACAGTCTAGTGATAATACCACTAGGCCATTGCCTCCTCTTACAATTATCTTCACAAGGATAATAAGTATGAATAACAAATATATGCCTTGCCAGTGACATATATCTCATGAAAGAACGAAAAAAACAATATTTATATGAATTTCCAGTAGATTTTCAACTAGCTACAATGTAAGGAACAAAACTGACAGCATTCAGAACTTGAAATAATTTATTGGCTTGGATAGGCAATTCATTCGGAGATAGGAGACAGACAGAAAGAATAATGGACATGCAGGGAAATTTGCAGGGTGTACCTAGTGCTGACCCCCAGTATCTTTAAAGGGTCAGTGGATTTTCACCAAGTTACATAAATAAATGTTATTTTAATTAATTCACGCAATGTGGGCATCGTTGGCTAGACTGCATTTACTGACTAGCCTCAGCAGCTGTTGAGAAGGTGGTGTTGAGCTGTCTTCTTGAACCACTGCACTCCAGTTAGCATAGGTAGACCCACAAAGCCATTGTGATGGAAATCCAGGATTTTGACACAGTGACACTGAAAGAACCATGATATATTTCTAAGTAAGGATGAAGAGTAGCTTGTGCTGGAACTTGCAAGTGGTGGTGTTCTTATTTATCAAACCATCAGACCATAAGACATATGAGCAAAGTAGGCCATTTGGTCCATCAAGTCTGCTCACTATTCAGTAAGATTATGGTTGATCTGATCAGATCTCAACTCCACTTTCCCCACCTATTCCCATACCCATTGATTATCTTACTGATTAAAAATATATCTCAGACCTGAATGTACTTATTGACCCAGACTCAACAGCCCTCACCAGTAAAGAATTCTACCGATTCCCTACCCTCAGAGAAGTAATTCCTCCTCATCTCTGTCTTAAATGTACCACCACTTACTCTGGAATTATCCTCTCTGGTCTTAGACTGTCCACAAGGGGAAACAACCGTTCCACATCTACCCTGTCAAGCCATCTCAGAATCGTGTATGTTTCAATAAGGTTGCCTCTCATCCTTCTAAGTTTCGCCTTGCCCAGCCTACTCAACTCCCCTGCATAAGACAGTCCCTTCATACCTGGGGATCAGCCAAGTAAGCCTCCTCTGGATTGCATCCGATGTCAGTATACATTTCCTTACAGACAAAAAAAACCTGCAGATGTTGGAATCCAAGACAGACGAACAGGAGGCTGGAAGAACACAGCAAGCCAGGCAGCATGTGCAGGAAAGGAGCAGTCAAAGTTTCGGGTATTACCCTTCTTCAGTACTGTCTGAAGAAGGGTTATTTCCTTAACAAGACTTCCCTATTTTTACACTACATTCCCTTTGAAATAAAAACCAATATTAGCTTTTTGTGATTTATACGTAACGACTCCCAGAAATTTGATTATCAACAATCTCTTGCATTCATACAGGGTCTTTTGGAGAAAAAGATCAAGATGTTTTACCGAGGGGAAGAAAACAATGGATTTAGTCACATAAGTGGTGTGGTTGAGAACTTTTTACTTGCCAGTATAAAACTGTTTGTTCATGTTCCATAAAACAGCAGAAGTTATGACATATTTGGTGTAGATTCACAATTTATATTACATCTGTTTCATGCTTAGACTTGGCTGAATTAAGGTGCAATACGTTGACAGATGGCCATATTTGTTAAAGAGTTTTCATTGTGATTTCTTAGGGGCAGTCAAAAAATGTTTGGGAAATGACTAGCAGTCCTGGAACTCAATCCCATAAAAATATTAAACTGATAGAAGTGAATAATTAAAGGAGACACCTGACTACAGAAAAGCATCTGCAACCAACACATGTGCTAAGAAACAGTTCAATGGCAGTTTTTGATTCAAATCAAATACCCTACTCATTATAATTCCAGGTGTTTAAGTATGTTACTAGACTGTTATATTTCCTACAGTTTATTTTAGGTTCACTCGAACCTGAAGCATTTAAGTGTGGAATATTCTTAACTGCTGCACAATAATACTAAATCACATGCATGAAACTGTTTTCCTCTTTTTTAAGTCAACAACATATTTACCTTCACTCACTTTAGGTCTCATTATTCAAGACACATGAAATTTCATGTCAAATTCAGAACAGTGTACTGAAACAAGTTGAATTCAGAAAGTCCTCATTTAAAACTGTGAATGTGTTCCTGAAAATCATGACTTTAGTTGAATGACGTTAAGTGAAGCTTATTGCCCGTAGGAATCTTTGTTAAAGCCAGAGTTAGGTCCCTGTGGATAATCTTGCTTCGAGAAAACAATGTGCAGTTCTGTGTATTCCAACCGGAAATATCTTGCAATACTGAATTCAAAATCAGTAAATAGAAAGAAATACCATACACAGTGAAATACATTACAGTATTTTATAAAATAATTACTCATCCTGCTCACCATTAAGGCAGTCCATGCCCAAATTCTGCTAGGCGTGGATAATATATCTAACACTTTGGTCACATAGATGCTAGGCAATCACCACCTCCATCAAAAGAATCTAACCAACTTCCCTTCACATTCAATTGTATAACCACTGAAACCCGTCCACCCAACAGCAACATCCAGGGTGTTGCCATTGACCAGGTCACAGTCTAGGAATTCTGCAGTGAGTAACTCACCTCCTAAATCCCCAAAGTCTGGCTACCATCTACATGGCACAAGTCAGGAGTGTGATGGAATACTCCCCACTTGCCTGGATGGGTGCAGCTCCAACAACACTCAAGAAGCTTGATACCATCCAGGACAAGGCAGCCACCTGACTGGCACCACTTCCACAAACATCCACTCTATCTACCACTGATGCTCAGTAGCAGCAGTGTGTACCATTTACAAGATGCACTGCAGAAACTTACCAAGGCACCTTCTTTCTTATACAGCACTATTCAAACCCACAACCACTTCTAACTAGAAGAACAAGGGCAGTGGACACGTGGGAACACCACCAACTGCAATTTCCCCTCCATACCACCTACTTAACTGACTTGGAAATATATCACTGTTCCTTCAAAGTCGCTGTGTAAAATTCCTGGAACTACCTCCTTCATAATGCCCAAGGGCATTATTAGTGTATCTAAACCAAATGGACTACAGTGATTCAAGAAGGTATCTAACCATCACCTTGTCAAGGGCAACTACAGATGAGCAACAAATGCTGGCCCAGCCAAGGACGCTCACACATCATGAAACATACCTCACAATACTGCACTTCTAGATTGACCAAGCTTCATTTCATCACTGACGCTGGTCAGTGCAGGTACCAGCAGGCCAGATTACCTGTACTGACCAATGTCTGCCACAAAATTAAGTCAGAATCTCAGTGCAGAATAGGAGCATAAACAGAGCAGGGGAAGAACGGATTTAGAACTAAGGAACAGCGGGCAATGGTAGGAGCGTGAGCCAGGCTGAAAACCAGGATGGGAGCCCATGCCGAGAGGGAAGAGAAGCTGAATTTTTCCAATGATCCCAACGGCACTGGGACTTTAAAACTGAGATTGGATGGTGAGGATCTGGGGGAAGGGAGTACTTAGGAAGCACTGAGGAAGAGGTGATGTGTGCACTGGTGACCACAGAACAGAAACTTTGTAGCGAGCACTGTTAAAAGCAAGATTCACAACATTAAATAAATGCATCAACAATTCTTTATTAACAAGGTTGTAGTAAAAAAATTAGTGAATTTACGTTAAGGGGAACTTAACATGCATTTCTTGTTACTTTCACTAACAACCACTGAAAAAGTATAGCCATCGCTCTTTCTTTTGTTAGAAAACTAACTCATTTAATTGGTATATGGACATTTCTAGAGGTTCAGTTTTATTCTGCTGTTGTTTAAATTTCAAAAAATACAATACGGCATGTCATATCTGGTATCTAATTACATTTCCATTTCCTTCTCCACAAGATAACTCTTTATAATCATCTGTGTCACCGAGCTAGCATGAGGTTTAAAGCAGTAAATTTTTCTTTCCTGAATGAAGTATCATAGAAGAGAATGTTTACTAACTACCTGCAATAACTGTGTGCACTCTCTCCATGTACATGCTGTGCGTATATTGGAGGTATATTGCACTTAAACTGTTCCTCTTGTTTATCTTCCCCTTTAAGGACGGCAAACTTTGGAAAAAATGCATTTTGGCTTTTGTTCTCAAGGGCTTGCCGTGAAAGATTAAGTTCAATTATAACAGATGGAAGTTTGGAACCAGAGTTTGGAAAGACAAACAGCGTTGTCAGCATAACGTACACGGTTAATAATGGTCAGATATCAAATGTTAAATACGAATCATAATTTATCCATTCCAAAGATTGACTTATTTAACTACCAGTTTCTAAACATGAGAACTTTTGAATCTTGTACCAAGTAATTTCCTTTCCTACCTTGGATGTCATCATTAAAAGTGAGATACTTGTTGCGGTATTTGTTAAGAAGGCGAAAAGCATTGGAGTTTGCAAAATCTTCAAACTGAATAAGACAGTTCATTCCATACCTAAAACCCAATGATATAAATGAATAGGAAGTTAAACATACAACACTAATTTTAAATAGAAAAACTGTTAAGACTACGTTCTTTACTGGAATCAGATATTAAGGATGAAAAGACACGAAGTTTTATTATTGTTGCTGATTTGTACATAGTTATGAAGGCTTCATATTTAATAATATTCTGGACTTGAGTTTGAACGATTATGGATATTTGGACTTTTTTTTAATTCAATGAAAGAAGATTATACTTTTTTAAACAATGCATTTCTTAATAGCCAATGTCTTGTGATAACTGTTTGCTTATTGGAGACCTTCTGCTTAGGTTTATTACCATCCGATTGCAGTGTCAGTGTCTGCTTGGATGTTCTTTGTCGTAGTAGGTAACCAGCCTGTTTAGATCTCTGGTTTCTGTAAAGGTCCTTATTGTGGCTGCAGAATTCTACCTGGAGGCCTGGTTCATTTGCTCTGGCACGAAAAACCTCTGAGAGAGCTTGTTGATATTTCCTAAACAACTGTGTCCACAAAGGTCCCCAGTGATAACTGCACATGTTCAGCGATATCCGCCTTCGTGTGCCAGAATATCACTTTAATAGCCATCTGAACATCTCAAATCTTATCCTTTTCAAAAACTAAGATATTCAGTCAAGAGATTTTTATCACCCCCAAAAGTGAATTTCTGCAAAGAAAATCTGTTATTTTGTTATGTGTTGGGTTATTTAAAGGGATAAACATTTTCATATTACAAACTGTATGTTAACCAGGTCTTGAATCTTCATTGAATAAGATTTGTTTTGTAATAAATAGATAATTTTGATGGTTCTTTTCATTCTCATGTGTTTAAAGAATATGGTTAGCCACGAAGTTGTTGGCTTGCTTGCCGAGCTGGCTGGTTATCGTACACACGTTTCATCACCATGCTAGGTAACGTAATCACTGCGGCCTCTGATGAAGCAATGTTGTTCTACTCCGCTTGGTATTTCTATGATCCGATCTGTTGTGTTAGGTTGTCTCATTTCCAGTTCTGTTTTGCATGGATTTGTACATGGGGTCTAATTCCACACATTTTTGATTGCATTACGGGTTGATAACCTGAGATAGGAATTCCAGTGCGTGTCTGTGGTTGGCTTGAGGTAAGACGGTCACATTGTCCCAGTTAAATTGATGGCCTTCATTGTCCGAGAGCACTGAGATGAGGGAAAGTTCGTCATGTCGTTTTCCTACTAGCTGGTGTTTGTGTATCCCGATGGCTAGTTTCCTTCCAGTCTGGCCAATGTAAAGTTTGTTGCAGTTTTTGCAAGGTATTTTGTAAACCATGTTGGTCCTGCATGTCATGGGTACAGGGTCTTTGGTCTTTGTAAGTGTTTGTTGTAGTGTGGCTGTGGGTTTGTGTGCTACCATGATTCCTAGTGGTGACAGGAGTCTCGTTGTCAGTTATATGTTCTTGATATACAGTAATTGACCAGGTGTTTCAGTCACTGTTGTAGGTCCTTGACCAGTTTGTGTGTAGGTGTGCCTGGTAGGGAGACAATGGGTCTGAGGAGCCACAACTCACTGCAACCAGAATTATGCAGGAAGGAGGAAGAGCACCTATTCAAGGTCTTTGCTAACAACTGATATCCCAACACTTCATCCGCAGGTGCCTACTAAATAGTCAACACCAAGAGGACACAGTATGCTCCAATATACTGGCCACACTACCGTATATCAAGAACATATCAGAACTGACAACGAGACTCCTGTCACCACTAGGAATCATGGTAGCACACAAATCCACAGCTATGCTACGACAAACACTCACAAAGACCAAAGACCCCATACCCATGACATGCAGGACCAACGGAGTTTACAAAATACCTTGCAAAGACTGCAACAAAAATTACATCGGCCAGACCGGAAGGAAACTAGCCATCAGGATACACGAACACCAGCTAGCAGCAAAACGACACGACGACCTTTCTCTCATCTCAGTGCACTCGGACAATGAAGGCCATCAATTTAAATGGGACAACGTGACCATCTCAGCTCAAGCCAACCACAGACACACACAGGAATTCCTAGAGGCCTGGTTTTCAACCCGTAATGCAATCAAAAACATGTGGAATTAGACCCCATATACAAACCCATGCAGAACAAAACCGGAAATGACGCAACTTAACTTAACGGACGGGATCATACAAATACCAAGCAGAGTAGAACAACATTGCTTCATTGGAGGTCGCACTGATGATGTTGCCTAGCATGGTGATGAAATGTCTGTACGATAACCAGCCAGCTCGGTGAGCAAGCCAACAACCTCATCCACAACTCGAGCTACAAATCTTCGCAAGAATGGTTAACCATATCAGACACTGGGTAAAATATCTAATACATGGAGTAATGAAAGATGGTGCATTTTTCTCAGCTTTGGTAGTTACTAAATTCTTTCTGGAGCTAGGAGATTTATCCCAGAATGACTTACAATAAGCAACCAAGGCTAGAACTATTTGCTTTGATGAAAAGTTGACATCAGAATTAAAAGCAGTGGTTAGGAGAGGAGACATAGCTGGGATAATGGCAAATCACCTGAAATTGGAAGATAAGCAAGGTAATCCAGTTTGTGATTTGACTGAATTAGCAGGAACTCAATTTCAAACAAAGCAGCATGAACAAGAAAATAAAAAGAAAAATCTTTAACTTGAACAGGAAGGAAAATTATATAAAAAATAATCTTGAAAGAGAAGCACTTCAGAGTTCAAAGGAAAGGAAAGAACATGTTAGAAAGAGAATTGAAAAAAGATAGAATATTCAAGAAGCTGGAATTAGAACCGCAATGGGAAGGAGAAAACTGAAGAGAGGCAGGAGAGAGGAAATACTGGCTTAAAAAGAGGCCTCCAACTCCAAGAAACATTCTGATGTGGAAATATACAATTCCAAACCAAATCCAAGTGGGCAGGTGTTTAAATTGGTGTAAGCCCTCTCAACATTTAATGCGAGGAATACAGAAGCATTTAAAAATTTTTGAAAAGACAGGTAAGCTGATGAGGTGGCCAACAGAAAATTAGATACTGCTCACACAAAGCAGGCTGATGGGCAGAGCTCATGAGGTTTATGTCTTGCTTTTTGAGTAAGCTTTGATAGTTGATGAGGTAGAAAAACAGAGGCTAGTCTCCGTGTGTACATGGTTGGTCTGAGGCTTAGAAATAGAAATTTCAGAATATCTGGAAGCTACCTGAGCAATTTATATAGAATTTGAGAGGATAAAGAAAAATAACTTTGATGACTGGATGAAGGGATGTAAGGTGGAAATCATATTTGAGACCCCTAGAGAAATAATTCTCATGGAAACATGGTGAAAAAAAATCACTCTTTAATTAGAAAGAACACACATAGAGAATCCAAAAGTTGCAACAGGCAAGAAAGGCAGCTGATTATGAGCTAGTCCAAAAATCCAAAATTACAATCATACCCATAAGCCTGAGAAGGTGTGAGAATCAAAGGAAGGCTAATTGTCAGGATGAGAAGGGACAGCAGAGAATGCCCCAGCATCTCTTCCTCAGGCCAGAAAGGAAGGTGCTGACAGCAGAAGTGCTGTACAAGAACCTCAGTGTTTCCATTGTCACAAGGTAGGGACCCTCAAGCGGACTGCTGCATGGTGGAAGGTATATGCATTGAACTTAGTGGGGCAAACATGGTCACTAAAAAGGAGCCTTGACAAAATGGACAATATACCAAGTTGCAGCTCTGACTACACAGCTATGAGACCAAGTGCAAACATTGCTGAGATTGCAGGAGAAGTAAAATTTATCCATACAAACTTGGGACAGCAGCAGGCCATTTGGCCCTTTGGGCCTTCTACATTATTGAACAAGATCATGGCTGCTCTGATTAAAACTTCAAATCCACATTACTATAAAGCCCTGAAAACCTTTCATTCCCCAGTTTACCACAACTCTATCCAACTGCCTTAAAAATAGTTCAAGATTCTGCTTTCACCACCTTTTCAGAAAGAGTTCCAAACAAACTCAATCCTCTGAGAGAAAACATTTAGCCTCATCTCTGCTTAAAATAAGTGACCTCTGATATTTTAAACAGTGATCCTAAGTTCTAGTTCTAGATTCTGCCATAAGTGGAAACATCTTCTCCCCAGAATTTTTTCAAGATGCCTTGGGATGTTATACATTTTAGCCACATCATCTTTTACGTTTCTAAATTCCAGCAGTACAAGTCTAACCTATCTAATCTTTCACCATAAGACTCTCATTTCACCAGTGGGGGAAGAAATTGAAGGAGTTTCCCCATCCCCAAGCTATTCTCATCCCTAGCCTTCTCCCCGCTACCCCCGATTCCTTGGGTTCTTCTCCAGGGTCCTGATGCCAACTCATCCCCTACTGCGTCCTGATATCCCCCATCTCTTCATCCCAGTTCCCAATCTCTCCCCCTCTCACCATTGCCCACATCATACCAGACAATACCAAATGTATTGACAAAGGAATCAATGAAGTCCTGCATTTCTTGTTAAAGAAAAATGGAAATTTAACCACATACAGTAGTCAACACAATCATTATTTATTAAATTGATTTGAAAATGCAGTGAATAAGTCTGAATGATCACTATCCCTTTGTATGGACCTAACAACTAAATGAGTGGCCACAGGTGCACAAGCACTTTTCTGCTGAAGTTTCCTCCTGATGCAGATTTCTAGCAGATGGCTTCTAGAAATGTTGGAAGAGAACCTAAAAGGAAGTCACATGGAAGTCCTTTGAACTGTAGAAAGTACACAGGTCAAGAAGAAAAGTAATTCTTTCCCTTTCCAGGAAATGAATCATACAGTTGCAGTAAGAAAAAAACATTATAATCAATCCATCCTGTTATGTTTCATTCAGAGTTCCTTTAGTTTCTCAATGGGATTGCAAATTGTATTTGACAGTTCTGATGACTGTATTTGTCTTCCTTGTACCCAGTTTGGTTTTTTACATGTAGGACAATAATTTTCAGTTTCTTTTAATTTTATTTCATATTACGCTTAGTATCTTTCACCCATGATATATGCCACATCTTTAGTAACTTATAGCCTCCAAAAATAGACACCTCACCACTTTACTGGGCAGTGGCCTGTCACTACCGCAAATTCTCATTGCCTCTTCCCAACATTCATACAGACCTTTGCTTTACTCACCGACGAAACTAAGACAAGGAAAATGCCCAAGATGGAACCAGTCATTGAAATAATTTCATGGATGTAGATTCATTTATGGAGCAAGGCACAAGCCTCTACCGAAATATCTGGTATTTGAAAACACTCTCTGGAATTAGTGAGTGTTGAGTAAAACATAAATGCCAAAAACATTGAGTTTTTAAAAATGCAGCTAAAGGTGCAAGTTGCGTTAGTGGCCACATAGCTATTGTTCATTGGTACAGGCTAAGTATTGAAGAATTCAGCCTCACAAATGAATTCAAACATGCCTCAAATGATGAATAAAAATGTCATAAATAAATAGAAAATATAGATTAAGTGCATTATCCACAATCTACAGCCAGTAACTCTTTGCAAGTTCTTACAAACTACGAAGGTTTCCACAGAAGGGCAAGTCAGCAGGGATGAATAGTCTCCTTCATAAGTTCTTGTCTTTATTTACCATTTTAATGTTGTACAACAAAACTTACGTGGGCATTACCAAGTAAAATTTAACAGCAAGCCACATAAAGACATTATGCTTGGTAAATGTAGTAAAGTTTATGGAGAAGTTTAAAAGAGGAGTGATCAAGAAGAGCAGAGAGATTTAGGGAGGTGCTTCCAGAAATTCGGCAATAAACAATTTTAATGCATGGCTGTCATTGGTGAAATAAAGTAAAAGAGGCTTTCACAAGAGGCTAAAATTAGAGGAGTGCAGAGATTTGAATGAGTGCGGGTCTAGAAACAATTACATATATAGGGAATGGTGAAAGATTTGAAGATGAGGATGAGAATTTTAAAACTAAGATGTGGTCAGTTAGCATCTACACATATAAAAGTGAATACGGCTTTTTTTTTGTTAATCATGTTAAAAAATAGACCTTTGATGGAGCTCACATTTTAGGGGTGTAAGGTGAGAAGTCCTGCAGGGTGCATTGGAATAATTAGCCTGAGAGATGATAAAGGCAAGGGCGAGGATTACAGCTGATGAACCCAGGCAGGGTGACAACAGGCGACATTACAGACATGAAAGCAGTCTATCTTAATGGTGGAGAGAATATGGGGCCAGAAACTCAGCTCATGGCCACAGGACACAATGTTATTGACAGTCTGGTTCAGCCCCAAACAGCAGCCAGTACAAGGGAAAAAGTTGATAGCAAGGGAACAGAGCTTGTGGTTGGGACTGGAAACAATGGATTCAGTCCTCCCTATACTTAATTGATGGAAATGTCTGTCCGTTGAATACTGGCTAACAAGCAAGCAGGGTAATAAAGCAAAGGCATGGTAACAGGATTTACCTCACATTGAGGTATATCTGAAAACACACAGGCAGAATCTGCTAGTTAGTTTATGGTTGAGGTTGCAGAAGGGCACCATGTGGTTGAGGGATTTGGAAGAAGTATTTTTAGAATCTCTAGAGATAACGATGCAGAGGTTTTAAGAGAAGCCATTACAGATGAAAGCAAAGGACTGCAAACTGGTGGAGATCTGAAATAAAAACGAAAGTGCTGGAGAAATCCAGCGTGTGTGGCAGCATCTGTGGAGAGAGACAGAGTCAATGTTTTGAGTCCAGTATGACTCTTCTTTGGAACTACAGATGATTCTCTGGCTACCACAGCGTAAATGGGAACTGAAGCACAGGGAGGGCAATCTCATCCAGTCATATGACAAAGGGGATGAGCACAGATGTGGTCAACCACATCAAAGGCTATATAGAAGTTTTGTTTTGACGGGGAAAGGACAATAACATGTGATGTAATTTGAGACTTTGATTAAGGTCTCTTCAATGTTGTGACCATGTCAGTGCAGCTGATTAGCAAATATACATTTTAAATGTAAAGACATATGAAATTTAGTCGGCTAACCTATGTTCAAATTAGTCTCTTATTTTTTGTGAGAAGCCACTCCAGCAACATATTCCTCAATCCATAATGCAAACAAAGTCCAATCCAACAAACTTCATCCTGTTAATGCTGTTGAGTGTTTCCTTTACACCTTTAAAATGACCTAGTCTTTTTGTCACTGTCATGAAAAATCTCAGATATTGAATAATGAGAACCCCATTTGATTTTCTGATATTACACAGTATATCTAAATGTGATCTGACATGATTCTCCAAATGTCTGACACATTCATATGGAATAGAAAATGGATTCAGTTGGAGTCTGCTGCCATTATTGGAATCACAGTTAATTTGTGCAGGGAGAGAGAATGGGTATAACATCCAACCTGTCTGTGACTGCTTGCATGAACTCATCAACCAATTCATCATACGCCTGCCCGCGAACTCTTTTATGTTTCAATCCAATGTAAAGTGGGTCACTGAGGAGAGTCTGGAAAAGATTAGCAACATTTAAATCTCTGCTTACTGAATATTGCTATGGTCCAAATATTGCCTTGTAATTAATTCATAATTGTATTTTTATACTTAAAAGAAATCAAATTCAAGTACATAAAACGATCCATTTTCCTATATTTAGGTTTTTTGCAGAAATGGTAATAAATTAACATCTATTTACTGGACAATACATAAATCAACAAGTGAATAAATTAGACAATGGACATTTCAATTTGTGTCTCCGCAACATCCTTGAAAAGTAAAAAGATAATTAAAACGTTACTATCGATTCCATAACAGTATTAAAAGGCACACCATAAACATGCTTAATAAAATGAGTGTAACATTCAACATGCCACACAATCATATGTTGGGGTTCTGTAAGTCTTACTGGTTAAAGAGCCTTTCATTTTTGTAGTGCGTGAAATATAACAACTAGTAGGTGAGGCAGATTGAATTGCACGAGTTTTCAGATATGTCTCATATTACTTCAGGGGCTGGGAGAACTTTCAACATAAAATATTTCCCGCAGGCAGTGTACGAAAAAGCCTATAATTTACTGCACAGTATATAAGAAACATGATTATAGTGTTCAAAACTGCTTTCTAACTAATTCCTGCTTACTGCATATAGTTGATCATATGGTTAACAGAGATCAACTACATTTCACAACAGAAGGAAAGTAGAATCAAACTTAATTAACTAACCACTTACAAGTTGTAACTAGCAACTGAATAAGTCACAAAGTCATACAGCATGGAAACCAACCCTTCGGTCCAACTAGTCTACGCTGACCGAGTTTCCTAAACTAAATGTGGTAGTGGTAGTGGAGTCAGATACTTTAGAGACTTTTAAGCCACTCTTGGATAAGCACATGGAGAATAGTAAAATGCAGGGTATGCAGGGTAGTTTGATCTTAGTAGGATAATAGGTCGGCACAATATCGTGGGACGAAGGGCCTGTACTGTGCTGTACTGTTCGATGTTCTAGATTTTTATCTAACATTTATTTTTGTCCGCCTGCAAACAAAGAGCATGCAGTATGGATGTCCCTGTCATCAAAGGGACCTGTCTTCCTGTTGTGACTAAATAGTGAATAAGTAATAGGCTTGTATAGCTCTGAACTCTTCTCAATAAGCAATAATGGAGCAGTTTGCCTTAGTGAAAGAAGATTCAGAACAGTTGCACACTGTCTCGCACTATTAGGTACTTCCTGGTGGTAAAGGAATTTGTAAGGTATGAAATTGTCAACTTGCAAAGAGATTTAATATAACTTGGAGAGGATGTGAAAAAGAGATAAAGTTGTCAACCACAACAATGATCTCTATGTCAACCAACTCGTGATGGGCAGGTTAGGGAGTTAAAGATTAAAAACTGGGGAACTATTCCCCATCACGCCATGTACGCACTACTGCCATTTTTATGCTGGCTAGTTGTGAACAATGGATGCATCCAATTGTGGATACATAATGCACAATTGTCATAGTGAAGTGACGAGCCTAATTAAAATTTAGCAGATGTTGGTAGGGTTTTCCATGGTTTAGATACCTGACAGTGAAAGGGAGAACTCAGCCACCAGTTCTAGCTGGCTGCATTTTTTGATAGAGCTCATTGTAGGTCCGCAACAACAGGAGTGTTAGCCCTCTTTCTGTTCCACCAACCCTTTTTTCACTAACCCTTGTGCCACACTCCTCCCTTAAACTCTAAACTCCCATCTCGGGTCTCCACCAGGGATCTGACAATCAGGATGGCTGTCAGATGGGGGGTGGGGGAAAGAAGAAAATGTTTATCAGTTTGTATCCAAGTCTGCGCAAAGTTTCAGACTAGCCATCATGCTCCTTTGTATCCTCCCTGCCCTGCTATAAATTAACACCAAGGTTTTCTCTTTAAAGGCTCCTTAAACTAAACACTCTTCATTATACTGTAACTTTGTTGGTTGTCAGGACTTTTTGTCAGGATTCTTGCAAAAACTAAGAAATTGTCACTGCTGGCAGCGATCATTCTGAGAGACTGGCTGCAACATCTTGTGTCTACACGTGTACAAAATAAACACAGAATTTTTACCATCAGTGGCTTTTACAGGGTGTACTATTGAGTTCCTCTCCTATGGAAACCAATAAGAAACCACTGAATTTATTGCACTTGCAATTTTTATGCAATATTTGAACATATGCCTTATTGAATGATGTATGAAATTTATAATTATTATTGAAAAACCTCGCTGATGTCAGTTGACATAGACTACTGAAGAATTTCCCTTTAACCAGAGAAAAATAAATTATCATTGCACTATTTTTTACACAATTCTAATTTGTAAATAGGTCAGATGCTGACATTAGGTCATGGATCAACCAATATTCCTTCAAATTGCAGCTGAGGGCTGGATTTTCTCTATGGAGGCTGGAATTGAGAAGGCAGAATGATTCTGGGCTCTGAACTTTTCTTCAGCGAGTGAGAAGTGTGGTGTTCATGGATCTGATTTCAATGACCCCCAGAGACAGGTTTTCTGCACAATTGGTGTCCTGAGGATGTGTAGGGGTGGAGGGATCAGAAGCAAAACAGCTGACTTTCAGGCCTCAAGTTTGGCACCAATTTTAGCCACTGTAGGGGTGTCCATCTCTGCATGGTTTAAAAGATGACAGTATCCTCATCTTCAAATTGGCCACAGCAAATGAAGAGCTGGGATTCATGGTAAGAAACAGTAATCCTGGCTAGTAAACTTTTATCACAGTTGAGTATTTTTTCACTGAACTTTGATTTTTTTGAAAATATGTTTTTTAAAAATTCATTTGTGGGATGTGGTCATTGCTGACCAGGCCAACATTTATTGCCCAACCTTAGTCACCCTGGAGAAGGTGGTGACGAGCTGCCTTGTAAAGCTCTTACGGTTTAGGTACATAACATTGTTTTTAGGGATGGAATTCCAGGATTTTGACCTAGTATAAGTAAAGGAATAGTGATATTGTCCCAAGTCAGGATAGTGTGCAGTTTGGAGGGAAAGTTGCATGAGGTGATGATCTCATGTACCTGCTGTTCTTGTCCTCCTAAGTACCTGAGGTCACGGATTTGAAAGATACTGTTGAGGGAGCCTGGGCAGGCAGCAACAGTGCAGAGGGGCAGGAGTCAACAGATCTAGCTTTTCCTTCAATATTAATTCTTGCCAAAATACCTGTACAAACTACGTCATCAATATCTTTATTCAGGCTGGATTCAGAAACTGCCTTCTCAACAAATACATGTTATTCCATTGACAGAGGGATTGGATACAAATCCAGTTTGAAGGAGGCAAGATTCCCATAGGTTCTACACACCAAGAAACAATTCTCTCAAGAAATGTGAGCAGCTGTGCTTCAACAATCATGGTCTTGGGCAGTAAATCATTGATGAGATCTAATCCCTTGGTGCAAGACTTCCTTCCTTTTAGACAAGTGATTACCCATTGCTAGTTGTCATCATGCTGATGATCACTGAACAAATGCCTACCTCCACCCCAGTTCCCATCAGATGCTCTCATACAAGAAGAGAAAGTAGCTGTGAGAATGAGAAATGAGTTTTGTGGGGAGGTGACCATAAGGCTTGGATAGGAGATGAAGCACCAGGATGAGGCTGTGTGTGGGCTGGTCAGATGGGAATACAGATGAACTCAAACTAATTATGAGATTAACATGGTCTTGTGAAGGGAAATCATGTTTAATCAATCTACTGGAGTTCTTTGAGGATTTGCTGTGGATAAAGGGGAACTGTACTTAGATTTCCAAAAGGCATTTGAAAATGTGCCACATCAAAAGTTATTGCAGAAAATGAAAAGTCATGGTATAGGGAAAGCGTATTGGCATCAACAGATGATAACAGGAAGAAGAGTAGGATTAAATGGGTCTTTTTCAGGTTGGCAGGGCCTAACAAATTGTGTGTCACAGGGATTGCAGCTGGGACCTTAAATGTTTACATTTATAAAAAATGACTGATGAAAGAACTGAAGGCATGGTTGTTAAATTTGCTGATGACATAAAGACAGGTAGGAAAGTAAGTTCTAAAGAGGACTCAAGCAAGTTACAGAAAAATTAAATAGGCTAAGTGAGTGGGGAGATATCTGGAAAATGATATAATGTGGAAAAATGCAAACTAGTCCATTCTGGCAGAAAGAATAAAAACAAAACATATTATCTAAATGGTGACAGCTTGCAGAGCTCTGAGATGTACAGGGATCTGAGTGCATGAATCGCAAAAGGCGAATATGCAGGTACAGCAGGTAATTAGGAAATCTAATAGAATGTTGCCATCTATTACAAGAGAATATGAATACTAAAGGAGGGAATTTATGCTTCATTTACAAGGCATTAGTGAGACCAGATCTGGAGTACCGTGTACAGTTCTGGTCACTTTATTGAAGGATGAATGTGAATTCATTGGAAGCAGTTCAGATGTTTACCAGGATAATACTTGGAATGGATGGATTGTCTCAGGAGGAAAGGTTGGACAGGCAAAGCATGCGTTCATTGGAATTCAGAAGAGTAAAAGGGGACTTGATTCAAACATATGAGATTGTGCCGGGTCTTGACAGGTTAGATGTGGAGATGATGTATCCTCATATAAGACAATCCAGAACTAGGGATTCACTGTTTAAAAATCAAGGGTCACCCATTTAAAACAGAGATTAGGCGAAGAACATTTATAGAGTCAGTGTTGTATAGCACGAAAACAGACCCTTCGGTCCAACTCGTCCACGCCAACCAGATATTCTAAATTGATCTAGTCCCATATGCCAGCATTTGGCCCATATCTCTCTAAATCCTTCCTGCTCACATACCCACCCAAACGCCTTTTAAATGTTGTAATTGTACCAGCTTTTACCACTTCCTCTGGCAGTTCATTCTGTACATGCGCCACCCGCTGCATGAAGAAGTTCCCCTCAGGTCCCTTTTAAATCTTTCCCCTCTCACCCTAAACCTGCGGCCTCTATTTTTGGACTCGCCTTTCCTGGGAAAAAGACCATGGC